TAAGTCACAAATCGGGAGCTTGACTCGTCATCTAAGTTGCGGAGAGCCTTGTTAGAAACCCGGTCCAGGCCGGGCGCCGATCGGGTGTTTAGTTCAAAAAGGACTGCCCGAATTTCCGCTTCGCTAAATTCGGCGTCTAGTTGCTCATTAGCAACGCCGTCATAATCTGGGTGTTGGACGCTCTCTGCCGACTTAAAGTAACGGTCACGTATTGCACCGAGCAGGTCATCGCCTTTATGATCGTTCACAAGTCTCCGAGTTTTATGGCCTTGAGCGGCACGAGTATCTTCCGGATCCAATAGGTGCCGGAAAAGGCGCCAAGCACTCGCCCCTCGCATCTGTCGTTCGAGGCCGTTGCACAGGTCTTCCCATTGTGACCTACAGACTTGGAACGCATGTTCCTCAATTTCTCTGTCTAACCGTGCTATGCGTTTCCTCAACGCCCGGTTATGTCTTTGGCGTTTCCACCTCTTGAGTAGGGCTTGCTTTGCTTCCCACATGTGTAGGAGCCTGCTGTCGATTACTTCGAGCTTCGCTTCGGGCGGGATATGGCACGTTACCGCGTCTACGTCCCGATTGAGCGTCGCGGTCGACTCATCTATATCCGTGATCGGCTCGTCGCCCCGCCCGCCTTCTGCTCTCTTTTTGCGGAACGCGTCCCACTGCACTAATTTGAATTTACGGCCTGTGCTTTCAGAGTATGTTCTACGAACGCTCGGGCCCGTGTCTACCGTAATCTCTATCAGAGAGTGGTCACTCCCTAAGTCCTCCTGCGTGTTTTGCCAAGACGCCGCTGTGACATTCGACACGAACGCGAGGTCCGGTAGCGTGTCTGCGCTCACGCTGTTACCCCGGCGCGTCGGATCGGCGGAGTTCGCGATCAGTTCAAGCCGTTGGTCTTGCGAGTCTTCCCAAAGGTGTTTGCCCTTGAGCGTTTCACGCGTGTATCCCTAGGCCCCATGGGGCGCATTAAAATCACCCGCAACTAGCACAGGTGCGCCGTTGGCGGCCGTGCTTCCTCTCCGGAGCATCTCCCCAAATCGGTGCTGTAGCGTGGGTTTACTGTAGACGTTAAGTACAAACAGGCCTCGGCCGCGCTTAGGAATTAATTCTACAAAAACATGCGGTATCCTTACGCACTCAAGTTCGCGCTGCGCCACCGTGATGTTACGTCTAACTAGCATGGCGGCGACCGGCGGCGGGGGCGATGGGGGCGACGGCAGCGACCGCGGTCGCGCCGATGACGAGAGCGGATCGCCCCGCACTCGGCGACCCGCGGCCGCCCCCGGCGTCCCACCACGCGCCGAGCGCTGTGTAGCACGTTTTTCTTTCCGCCTGTTGTCCGCCACGGCCGCATTTATGGCTTTGTAACCAGCTAGTTTTGCAGGATAATTTGTTTCCTGCAAAAGGATAATGTCCGGTTTCGTCTCACGGCTTCGAATAAATTGCTCGAGATTTCCCCGCTTCCTCCTATATCCCCGGCAGTTCCACTGCCAGATCGTGTACTGTTGTTTGTGAGTGTTAGTGTGAGTGTGCGCGTGTCGAGCCATGGTGATGCTTGTGTTTAATTTTGCTCATCGCCGTCGAGGCGACTGGGGTGCGGCTGAATCTGCGGCTCGGCGTCTGGCAGTGCGTTCTGCTGCTGCTGACTCTGTTGCTGTCTAGCGTAGGGCTTACTCACCGTTCTAATCGGTCTGCCCGCAGATGGCTGGAGTCGCGCTTCAATGTTTTCTATGCGCGCCGTGTGCGCGGTGAGCATTTGTGTCATTTGTTCAGAGAGCTTAGCTATCGCACTATTGAACATGTCATTCATCTGTGCCACCTGTTTAGCAAAACGTTCATCGAGGCTGGTCTCGATAGTATCGATTTGTTTCTATAGCTTATCATAACGGCCAAATCACTGTGTGGATTCGTGCCTGGCAGGATCTAGTGCTATCCTTTTCGCGATACACGGGCGGTCTTCGCGTCCGCCTGCCCCCTCTCCCGAACTGCTCTCGTCATCCGTGTCCATCTCCGCCGCCTCGGGTCTCGACGGAGTCGAAGACCGAGGCGTCGGTGGTGGCGGCGCCGTCGACTGTTGCTGCGGTTGTTCCATTCGTGGAGCCTCTCCTTTCAATTTGGAATTTTCCGCTCTAAGGGCGGCGTTCTCGCGTTTCAGCTCTGAAATTATCGATTGTAATGGTCCTAGGCATTGTTCTAGCGCTCGCTCTACCGCTAGCTTGAGCTCGCTCCCACCGCCGCCACCGACGGCGGGACCGCCAGGACGTCCCGCCGAAACAACGCCGCCGGCGCGAAAGGCGGCTACATCCGCCCATCTCACCTGCTGCCATGTGCCCATGGGTCCTTGTTGTTGCGGCTGCCGCCACGTCTGATGCTGCTGACTTTGTTGGGTGCCTTGGTTGACAGCTGCGGCGCCCGGAACGGCGCTACCGCGCGTCTTCGACATGCTTCTCGGCCTTGGTGTCCGGCTGCGAGAGCGGGACCGGGATTTACCGCCGCCGCCTCTCGCGTCTCGGCTTGTCGAGTGTCCTCTTCGGGTGGCGTTGGATGAATGACTGTCAAACGCCGGATAATGATTGTAGTAACCTCCGTTGCCTTCGGTGCTAATGCCGCTGTTGTAGATGCTGTCGGACGCTGCGGCCGCTTGCTCTTCTTCACGCCGCTTTCGCTCTAGGCGGCGACGCTTGACTATGTAAGGAGTCTTGTATCTCGCCTTGCAGACGCGGTCACCCGTGAGATGATCCTTGCCACACACTTGACACCGCGGCTCGCAGCGATGGTCAGACGGTGGGTTACTGCTTCCGCAGCCACGGCAAATCTTGTCGGAAGGGTTGGGACACACATCGGAGCGATGGCCCAGCCTCCCGCACGCGTAGCACACGTCGATGTGCTTTCTGTAGAGGGAGCATCTCAAAAGCATAGGTCCATAGTATACGTGTCTGGGAACATGGAAACCGTCGAACAATACGATGATGTTGTCCGTGGTGCCCATTCGCTTGGCATGCAGCACGCCGGGGTTGCGCTGCGTCACTAGGTTGTTAACGATGTCCTCCGGGCTCTCGTCTTTGGAAATGTTCCTAATCAGGCCCTTGGAAGTGTTCTCCGGGGCGGCCTGATAGGCGTTCGCCTCGAACTCTCGGTTCCCGATGCAAAGCTTGCTGATGGCTCCGTAGCGTTTGGCTCTGTCCGCGGACGGAGTGCTGAGCATCACGACGTTCTGTTTAACGTTGAGGCCGATGCTGTCCTCTCTAGCCGCTTCTCTACCGATACCTGCCGCGTTACGAAGGCAGCAGTAAATGCGATCTATCTTGTATTCAGCCCCGTCGAATCCGCCGTGGGGGCACACAATGATCCTGTAGTCATCGGGCGGTAGCTCTGGCATTCGGCTCGCCTTAGCGAGGTGCTGCAAGTAACGAGCACACTTCTTTTTATTCTGCGCCGCTGTGGCAGTATCCGGGGCAATCCCTGTAGTCTCCGCGGCAGCCGCCTGTTGCTGCGTCTCCGTCTTCTGGTCTTGCGCTGACTCGGACGCGCCGTCGGCCTGTTTCGTTCTCTTTATGCTGCACCATCCTGCTTCCTCGCCGAAATCTTCCGGCCGAATGTCCTCTCCTTCTACCTCTACGACATCCATTTAGCCCTGGCAAAGGCCTTGTACGCTGCCGTCGGGGATCGGGAGCTCCGAGGAGGTCCGGCGACACGTTAGCCTTGCAGGCCCCACCGCCGTAGCGGCCGGCCTATGGCGTCGTGCGCAGAGACGCTGGACTTGGCGTTCTTGCTTTCGAGGTGGAATAAAAGGCGCCAATAGGTGGCTAAAAAGTGGTCCCACCTGGCAAAACTTGGTGTCAAGGAAGTCCTTGAAACTGCCGCCGATCGATGGTGAGAAGCGTTTTCCACGATAAAGTCGACAATCCACCAAAAACTTAGGAAAGTTGCGGAGCCGACGCGCAACACGTCCGCACTCCGTGGCCCCCTAGCGGTGTCTCACGAAATATTTCCCATGCATAATTTTTCGTGGCTCAAAGGCACAACGTAGAATGCAGTCATATGCCAAAGCTTCGCTTATGAAAGCCACTTCTAACTTGATGGAACACAATGTAGTAATTCATCAGTATAGTACGCGCACCAGAAGAGTAATCCGTGTAGAATATTTGGTCTGAAAACTAGAGTAATGTGCAATAGTCTCGGCAGAAAACAGTATTTTGCTATAGGTGGAGAGACGCTGGACGTTGTAAAGAAATTGTCTACTTAGCACAGGTAGTAACTGAGGAGGCAAACCATGAGAGTGAAATAACAAGAAGAATAACATTGGAGTTGTCACATTCGGCAAGTGTTCTCAAATCAGGAATAGTAATCTGGCACTAACCCTCAAGAGAAAGGTATATAACAGCTGCATCTTGCCGTTACTTATCTATGGAGCAGAAACATGGAGGCATGCAAAGATCGTTCACCTTAAATTGAGGACAACTCAGCGGGTGACGGAAAAGAAAATGATAGGTGTAACCTCAAGAGAGAAGAAGATAGCGGAGTGGGTCAGTGCCCGAACCGGGTTTAACGACATCATGGTTGAAATGAGGATGTAAAATTGGGCATGGGCCGGGCACGTAGCACGTAGATAGGGTAACCAGTGGTCACGAAGGGTAACTGACAGGTTTTATATAGAAGGACAGACGCACGAAGGGGAGATAGAAAGTAAGGTAGGCCGATGACATTAAAAAGTTCGCAGGTATAACGTGGCAGCAGAAAGCACAATACCGGGTTGATTGCCGGATCATGGGAAGAGGCCTTTACCCTGCAGTGGACGTAGTCAGGCTGTTACAGCTGCAGCTGTTGACTGATGATCATAATAATAAATATACTAATCCACAACATTATTTTCTCAAGTGACATCATAGAATAAAAAGTATGCTCTAAATTTTAGAAGTACGCCCTACGGACAGAATATTACTATCGCGTTCAAACGTACCTACTCGATGCGGCTCATTTTGGTTTCTGTATTGCAGGCGACATCTACCGTGGTCCAGTTCAGATACATTACTGGGATCAGCTCCCATTACTCACCAATCGGGTATGATGTATACAATGTTGGCTGCTCTAGGCGGGACTACAATTGTCATGGCGCCGAGCACGATGACACCTTTAGAGGTTATGGACACCATTGATAAATACAAGGTTGGCTATTTTACGTCTGCTTTCTAACAGAGTTCTAACGTTCTTTTCTTTATTTCGAAGCTATTACTATGTTCGTTTCTCTTAGTATGTCACATGCGTAGTTTGTCACAGCTTGTTTTGTCGTAGAAGCATGACCAAGAAGAAGCAGAATGCTATGGCGCTCAATGTAGCCACACGCAAATTTAACCCGCCAGGATTGTGTGGACCTCACAGCATACTCACAGAGAAAGCTGGTAAAGTGGCCTTTCTACAGCAATTTTAACTATTAGAGCAAGTACTATAGACTGGCAAGCGTCGTCTCCACTACGCCAAAACTCATCAAAATATTTGTGTATTGGGGAAGCGTACACTAACTTACTATTCGTTCATCTTCGAAAATGTGTAGTACCCACTACACAAATGTACTTTATTTCATGCACCTTGTTGGTGCTATGGCTGACGACGATAATTTTTATGCCCAAAGCTTTTGTGATGGGCTGGATCATTAAACGACCCACTTTTTACGCAATTTTTACCGTGTGACTCTTTGTTGTCTATTTACGGTTTCTAAACGCTTTATCCTGTATTCATCACCCGACATGAGGCCTGGACAGTGTCTGTTGTAAACGGTGTTTGAAGACGGCTGACTGGGCCAGTTAGATGTTCATAAATAAGACACGGCGTATAGGAAAAAAATGGGACAAGCACTGACTTCTATTTGAAATGTCATTGGCAAGAAAGCTACTTTATATACCCAACCAAAGTGAGCAGAAAAAACAGTGAAAAAATGACAGGAGCAAAGATAACAAATAACCGCAATTATCAGTGAGCCTGCTACGCCAACCCTCATACCGAAAAAAAAAGCAGAGCTCTCTTTCTGACAGGAACTCATGGATTGCTTACGCACACATTCCTTTCAAGTGCCATCTAAGCAGCCTAACGCATTATGCGCTCGTGCCCTTTTTTAATCTTATCGAGAACTGTGGTCCTTTAGAACTACGAAGTACACCAACACCTCCTCACGTGTAGTGCCAGGAAGCCATCTTTGCCATTTCGAACGTTATTGGTGTGTTCCCATAAGCGTCCGCTTAGGCATCTGGCCATGTAGCCTACGTAACAAGTACCTCAAGACAATGAAATCCTGTACGCCACGGCTTGAGCAGAGTCGACAAAGTGTGTCCGAGCTGTATCACGCACTGCTTTCCGTGCCTCTTTGCCGGACCAGGTCATGTTTGTCAAATGGGACAACGCCTCCATGTGAAAGTAGTTTCGGTGCTTGCGACAAGTTGTCACGTAGTTTTCAGCGCTTCTTACAAGTTTTAAGGAGAAGTTTCAGTATGCATCCGAGGCGGCGAACTCCCGCGCCACAGTTTCTCTCTGTTCAGTTGGTAATCACTATTAGATAATATAAACTCAATTTGGTCAGCGGACGTGCCACTCCCGGTACAGTGGAAGACTGCTCTAGTCACATTCATACAGAAACCTGGAAAGTACGTGAACACAGACAACAATCGCCCCATTTCTCTCGCATCATGCGTGGGCGAACAGATGGAGACGATGGTGCGGGATCGTTTGACTGATATTATGGGAAATCAACGTACTTTCGCAAATTCGCTACATGAGTTTCGCCTGTACAAATCCGTGCAAAACATTCTGCTTCAATTTATTCGAGATATCATAGAGCCTGCCGTATGTCCTCACAACTACAAGGTTGTACTCGCCTTGGACTTGAACGGGGCGTTTACAACGTAACCCATGAGGTAATTTTGACACACCTTCCACAATTCAGCTGTGGCTTGAGAGCACTTGAATAAATTCTGCAATTTTAACCGACAGACTATCAACATTCACATTGAGGACAAGGAACATGACCCTTTTCCTTTAGGAACGATAGGTACACCACAAGGTGCATGCAGTGATGTCTCCTTTACTATTGCGATAGCTACTTTTGGCCACTTCCCCGTCCTAAAAGTATACCCTGAAAACTTTTATGGCATCCACGTATTGAATACCACCCGGCAAAGAGCCGTGGAAGCCACCGAAACGAAAGGCTTTGCTTTTCTCCGCATTCAGAAAAGCACCCGATTAACTGGCATACTCTTCGAACAGCTCCAAGAAAGCATGGTAACTGGCTTGGTTTCGCACGAATACGGAGATGTCATCCGCATAAGCGGTGATGCTAACTGACCCAACCTGATATTGGAAAGCCCTGAATATTAGGGCGCTTTGCCACTTTCATAAGGAGAGGGTATATGAAAAGGACAAAGAGCACTGGTACGATTTGGCATCCCTGGCAAACACCTTTTGTTACTGGAAATTTGTTGTCTCCACGCCGTTGGTGAGGAATCAGCTGGTCATATTGGTGTATAAATGTGTTATACAGCGGACGTACTTCGCACGCAAACCAAGAGAAAGAGAGAGAGAGATAAGGATGCAAGGAAAAACAGGAAGGTTACCCAGACGCACATCCGGTTTGATAACCGGCCCTGGGGGAGGGATGAAGGGGAGAAAAGAGGTTGTAGAGAGACAAGAAGGTACACAAAATCACGAGCACACTCAGGGGAGCACACGGAGTCTACAGGCGGTCGCTCAGGTTTGTTGTCTTCAACTAAAAAAGGAGTGCATTAGTCGCTTTCTGCGCTATTTAGGCAGACAGCCAAGGTCCCAGAATCTTTTGCACACTGAACGGTCTAGAGTCCAGTTTGATTAAAACCATCCAGATCTGGCATCAGTGCGTGCCGTAGCAAGTGCAGCTGCACAGGACGTGTTAGATGGTCTCATGAGCTCCGCAGGACTCACATGTAGAGGTGTCTGCTATACCAGTGCGAAATGAGTACTCCTTTGTGAATGCAACACCCAACCAAAGGCGGCATAACAGTGTCGCATCGGAGCGGGAAAAGTGTGATGGTTGCTGTATCTTGAGCGAAGGACCTAGTTCATATAAATGACACTTTTGGAAGCTGGTGACGACCAAAACTTGCGTGTAATATCTCGAGCCAGCAGATAAAGTTGTCTTGCTGCATCAGTCCTTGACAGAGGAATCGGGATCACACGTGTTCCTTTATGGGTTGAGCGAGCTGCATCATCGGCTAATTGATTTTGAGTAATGCCGATATATCCAGGCAGCCATTGATATATGATATCATGCCCTCGTGCTAGAGCTTCATGATGGCAATGTCTTATTTTATGTACCAATTATTCACGATTCCTCTTACGCATGGCCTACTTCAAACTCTGAAGTGAATCACGGAATATGACCCATTTTCCGGGACGCTCTTGAACAAGATATTGTAAAGCGGCTCTTATACCAGCAAGCTCTGATGCTGTAGACATAGTCATATGCGACAACCTAAATTTGATTGTCATTGCTGCAGCCGGAACTACAGTGACACCTGATGAGCTTCTGGACAAGAACTACCCATCAGTGTATATCTGTGTTCGGTCCAAGTGCAAATATATAATAATAGCAGTGTTGCTTGCTTCAATGCTACTCTGAAGTGATCGCTTTTCGTTTTGATACGAGGAATTTCTAGACGAACCGGTGGCTGGTCGAGGCACCACAAGGGACATAAAATTTTCGTAGCTGGTGTATATCTTGATGGAATGCGGTTTAGGTGCTTGGCTATGACATCTGAAAACGTAGCACGTGATCTTTCGGCGGGTAGAAGGGCCACGTGGTAGTCGGGGGCACGGCTATCATGTCCAATGTGCGCTCGGAGGCAATCCACAGCTCTATGTGTCCTGACTGGATGGTCTTTGGCAAGCACAATTGTGGCATAAGTAGAAGCGCATCGGCACAGTCCTAGGTAGATACGCAGCGTCTGACCCTGCAAACTCACCAATGAATGAATATTAGATTTGCAAGTGTTAGTCAGTACCAGGCAAGCTGTAGTGCAATAGACCCAGGAATAGGGCCTTGTACAACTGTAGCATGGAGGCCACAGAAGTTCCTCATGCTTTCCTGCAGATGAATTTCATTATATGCACAATGAATAGCAGTCTCTTCTTCAAGTACGCACAATGCAGGCTCCACGAAAGACTTCTTTCAATTATTATGCCCAGGAAACAATGCGTCCGCGCATATTTGACACTCAGCCCGTTGATATAAACAGGGTATGCCGTCATTGATTTGCGTGTGAACGCAATCAACGCGCACTTCCCAGTTGATATAGTCAGGCCCTGTTTCTCAAGGTAGGCTATTGTGAGGGTTGCTGCCCGCTGTATTCGGATACGCACCCAAAGGCGAGTAACAGCAGCCCTCCGAAGCAAATATTGTCGGCGTATATGGATAGGCACACCGACATTGGCAGAAGGTTCGCCAGGCCAATGAGGGCAACATTGAACAAGGTAGGGCTTAAAACACCTCCTTGAGGTACTCCGCTGTAGGTGTAATGTTCAGTAGTTTAAACTCATCTGTTTGCCCAGAAATACTCCTGGTAGTTACATAGTCTTCTTTACATTGAAACATTTGTCCACCAATGCCCATTCCTGCGAGAGAAGTGAGGATGGCATCATGAGCTACATTATTATATGCACCCTCCTCGTCAAGAAAGAGTGCCACTGACATACGTTTGCGACTTTTTTCTTGCTGAACAAATGTCGATGAGTCAAGGATACTGTCGGTGGAGGAGCGGCCCCGACGGAAGCCTGTCATGCAGGAAGGGTAGTTGGTGTATTGTTTCAAGTATCACTCGAGACGAAATAGAACCAAACATTCTAAGAACACAGTATAGGTAGTCGTGTTCGACCTTGTCGAAGGCCTTAGCTGGATCCAATGACACGAAAGCACCCGTAACGTTTTTGGCGTTGGCATAGTAGAACAAATCTCCTATCAGAGTAAGACTGAAAAATTGACCTACCCGGCACTGCACACGTTTGCGCCGGTAACACTATATCGAGCAGAAAAGGTTTTAGCCTCAAGCCAGGGATCGTAGCTACAAGCTTGTAGTCCGCGTTAAGGAGGGTAATTGCCCTCCTCGACTGTGGATCATCAGGATCCATGCCCTCCATTGGCAGCAACA